CCCTTTTAAATTTGTGTTTAATAAATAAACAAACTGTAAATAACAGTATAGTATTAAATTATAATTATATGGACATTCAACATAATCTAATAAAAGATGAATTGACCCAGAAGGAATCACGGCTAAATGATGAGCCTGGATGTCAAACTGTAGGTAAAAGCAACTCATTTTATATGATATAATTCGAGCAGCCACCTCTGCATCATGTGATACGATCCCTTTACAGTTTAACCAAAATGTAGTTTTCTGCTGTGACGTATCAGGAACAGATATTCAGATATTCATGGCTGTTTCTGTTCCTCTACGCCACATGTGTCGAACTCCAGGCCTCGAGGGCCGGTGTCCTGCAGGTTTTAGATGTGTCCTTGATCCAACACAGCTGATTTAAACGGCTAAATGACCTCCTCAACATGTCTTGAAGTTCTGCAGAGGCCTGGTAATGAACTAATCATTTTATTCAGGTGTGTTGACCCAAGGGGAGATCTAAAACCTGCAGGACACGGCCCTCGAGGCCTGGAGTCCGACACCCCTGCTCTACGCAGCCGACATTAAACTGATGGTTGTGGTTTTTTAACAGAGCTTAAATGTGTTTTTCATCCCTGAAAACAAAATGTAAATATCGTCTGTAGATATGTGCTGGAACAAAGGGCCATACTTCAACCTGCCCTCGACCTCGAGGTCCTGTAACTGTGAAATATTCACAGGATGAAGGTAAAGTTTTACATGACTTTTTCATTTCCTCCCCTCAGATGATTCACATGAAAAATTGAAAGAAACTGAACATTTTATTTGTTTTATATTATAGAAATACTGTCTTTTTATAGTAAATTGATAAAACTGCTTTGATGTTGCTATGTTTGTGTTTTGTTTGTGTTATATTGTATTTCATCAGCACTGTGGTTTTTATTAGTTCAAGCTCAGTTCTTAGACAGTTACCTTTATATGAGGCTGTAAACAGGATTTCCAATACACGCTAAACGTCGACAGCTAAAACAGATGCACGTAGCTTCTGGCTCTGAAAAATGAAGACGACACACAAGTGCCTCTAACCTGTATTCTATTTAATAGCCACTAGGGGGCGACGCCTGTGAAAACAAAAGGATTTCTGGTCGTCTTGAAGTGTACAGGACCTCTCTAAACACTTTCCTGATGATATTATGGGCTCAGTCACTCGTTTCATTGGGTAAAGACTTGCGACTCATTAGCCACTGAGCATGCAGTCTGTCCCTCGCTCCTCACATTGAGTTTAAAAGATGTTAAAAATGCTCTTCTAAGGCTTCAAAACCGGACGACATCACTGTAGCTACTGTCTATGATCCTAAACATCCTTTTGATGTAGTCTCTCCTTCCAGTTTCTTTACTGCTGACCAAAGACGGCAGGAAGTTTCAGCTCTTTGCATCCTTACACTGAGCTAGGAAAAGAGTTAAACCATAGATGCTTATTAAAATTCCTTCAGCGCAGGTAAAATGGGTAAAACACCTCCCTGTGTTTAGCAGCGAGTAGTATCTGGCCCAACTTTAGGGTAGCAGCAGCACAAAGCTGACATCAATCACCTGAGCCTTGTGAAAGTTATTGATTAGTGTTGTGAACCGTGACTAAGCTACTGAGGGGCGGACAGAAAGATTAGTTCCTGCAGAGCGTTTCCTCTCCAGAGGGAAACTATTACAACAGGATCTTTTCTCATTAGGATGCCAAACATAGAGTTTCTTCTCTTTGGCGAGAAAACCCCCACATCATAATAACAACGCATCCACACAGTCTGCAGAATATTGAACATATGGCTGATATTTTAGTTGAAGCCTTCCACGCTGCAGATGGATATGGAGGATGAAAAATGCATAAAAAATATCATAAATCAATATTTATTTATTAATGTACTTTACAGTAAGTTTTATTCCTGCACATATTTAACTTTTAATTTGAATTTCTACATTTAATTCTGTACTTCTTTATGTATTTATTTATGTAAAATAACCAATTTATTTTTTAAGTAATGTATTTATTTTACTGAAGCGATAGAACCCTAACTGTAAAGCTGACCAACTAGAAGCTTAGAAAGTTATTATGCAAACAATAACATGACAATGACGTCTAAAAAGTGTCATGGTCCTGGGCCATGTTGGCCCAGCATTCTTAGTTTTCTTGTATTTTTGTATTTTGTTCCTTATGCCGTGGTTCCTAGGTTCTGTTAAAGATGTTCCTTATTTGATTACCCCTCTGTGTATCTGTGAGCCCTCGTTTCCCCTCCTTGTGTTTCATTCCATGTTTTCCCCAGCCCGTTATGTCTGTGCTCTCTCTCCTCCTGTCTGAACCTCTGTGTACTTCCTGTTTTACTTTGACAGTCTCTCGTCAGTATGCGTCATGTTGTGTTCACTCCTGCCCTGTCTCGTTACGATTATCTGTGTCAGCTGTGTTCCCCGTGTGCTCCCACTTCTCTCGTTAACCCTCTGTGTATTTATGTGCATGTCTCCCTCAGTTCGGTGTCGCGTCGTCAATGTCTCCTCCCCGAACCTGTGTGTCTTTCTGTGTTCCCTCGGTCTTCTGTTAGTATTCCCAGTTTAGTTCTGTTTCGTTGTGAAGCCTGCAATAAAGCAGTGATTTTGAGTTCACTTCCTGTCTCCGTGAGTTTTGCGTTTGGGTCCTCATCTGCCTCCACACAGCTACTTCATGACAAAAAGGATATAAAGGCACACACTGTTGTGATGTTAGAGGACCAAATATTTGACTTCCTGTCCACACGCAAGTGCAGAACTTGAGTTTTTGAAAACGTTAGTCTTCAGTGACATAAACAGATGTTTACACATGTGAGCGAAATGTCAAAAGGCGTAAAAAAAGGTAAGTTTTCTAAAATACTCAAGTAGGTTTGGGCAGGATCATCCTGATGTGCTCAGCAAGCAGCTGCTAAGTCCAGCTGATAATAATAATAACAGCCAGTGGTTCTCCAGTAATACTGACACTACATGTTGTAGAGTAATCAGTTTTATGCAACAGTAGCTACACAAACGCGTGAGCCAGGTGAGCTTAGCTTAGCATAAACGGTAGAAAAAGTGGTACGGTAACAATAAGGCTGGTTTCCATCTTCTCCTTTCTTTAAACAAAAACAGGTTTACTGTTCAAAATGTCAAACTCCTCCTTTACCCCGGGAACAAGGGGAACTGAAACCACTTACAAACCTCTTTCATCGTTTCCAGCTGCTCACAGATGTGCTTTAAAACTTCATTATCCTGTTCTTTTGTCCAGCTGTTTCAGATTCCTGTAAACTTCCCTGAATTTTCCAGTTATTATTTGACGACTGTACTTTTGTGAAACTTTGACCTCTGACCTGCTTGTGTGGATTTCCGCCGGGCCTTCTTTATGTCCTCCTCCGTCTTATTGCTGAGTTTAATCTCCAGCTGCTGGGTCTTCACCTCCAGATCCTTCTGCCTGTCTGCCAGGGCTTTACGTGCCTGCGGCGCGCACAGAAACAATGAGTCATTCGTGGTAATCCTCAGATTTACTGCACCTACATCTATTACTACAGTCATTACAGCCTTTTCATGCTGGCTTCTGACATCCGTGCTGCGATCCTGGTCTCATCCTTTAATCTACTTCTAATCTATACCATTGAGTCTTTCCTCTTATTCTGTATATAGGCAACTCTCCAAGGTTGTGCTGTGATTGTGTTTGAAATGTAAACACAGAATAATATAATAAAGGCGATGTGAGCCCATTTTAAACCTGAGACATTGAGCAGCAGATATTTCTTTTCAGTTTTATCAGACAGAAGACAGAAAAACCAAAAAAATAAAGCATAATGCAGATATTAAAAAGTGGTATAGTATAGTACAGAGTAAATCTGAAGACTAAGAGCTTAAGGTAAAAATCTAAAGGAAACTGAAAATAGAAACGTATGTAAAAAGTTGAATATAATTCATTAAAGTGTCTACAGGACAAGAACTTAATAAGGCCATCCATCGCAGTCCAGATCACAAGTAATGCCCAGACCTCCATCTCCACGGATCCTCTAGCTCTTCTGGGGAATACCAAAGTGTTCCCAGGCCAGCCAAGAAATCTCTGGGTCTGCCCCAGGGCCTCCTCCTGATAGGACAAGTCTGGAACATCTCACCCAGGAGGCGCCCAGAAGGCATCCTAATAATCGCTCATTTCAATGTGGAGGAAGAGTAGCGGCTCTACTCTGAGGCTGTCCTGAATGACTGCACTTTCACGCTCTCTCTTCACCACGATGGACCAGTGCAACGTCTGCATCACTGCAAATACAGCGGGTAATGAAAATGACCCTTTTCATACCGAAAACCACGGCCTCAGACTGACATGCAATTCTCTTTCCAGCTGCTTCACACTGGTCTGCAAACAGCCCAATGTGAGCAGGAGGTCAACGCTCGACGATCTGCAAAAGCAGCGACGAGATCCCGAGGCCATCAACCCGCCACCCTCCATCCATCAGCCATGGTCACAGAGTCCAACACCCAATGAGATGAATCTGACTTACAGCTGGCAATAAAAGGGCCAAGCAATTATAGCGGTTGCACAGGAGGACTTCAATACCTTATACTTCTAAAATCCAGATGCTCTGAGTACACAACACACATGTAGACTGGTTAGGCAAACTCCCACACATCCTCGCAGAGCATTGAGAGTATAAAAAGCTGGTCCAGTGTTTCAGGACGACTGACACATCCAAAGTGTGACTAATGGGTCCCCTCCAGCGTGACTTCCACACAGTATTGCTGAGGTGTCGACAACAGCCCCACATCATCCAGAGCTTTCAGAAACTCATCAGAGTGAACTTCATCCACCCTGCCACCAGACTTTGCCTCCACCATAGAAGGAGTATCATTAGGGCTAAAGAGAAGCATTCCTTCCAAGGCCTGACTATGTCCTAAGCTAAGGTCAGCTGAACGCCTTCCCCAACGTACACAGTGTGGACAGGAAGCTGCTTAACCCTCCTGAGTCGCCTCCTGGACCAACCGACAGCGTTATCTTATTTTGCTGAATAACTACGATGCAGCAAAATAAAAACAATAAAAATGTCTTTCTACAAGTAGGAAATGATTTCCACCTATGTTATGTGTGGCACTAATAAGACTAATAATCTTAATGGAAACAGCAAAAGGCTCCCTGGATCTCTAGTAGAAATGACGGTGCACGAACAACTGCCAACAAAGCGAGGTTGTTGGCTCTGCTTCTAGCTCTTCTGGCAGTGAAAACACAGTGTTCACATATTGCTGCCACCCACCACAACATGCCACAAAAATAAAAGTGAAAAGCAGAAAAAAAAATGATCTGTGCAAGACAGAATCCGCATCCATTCATGAGCCGATACAGCAGGTGGGAAGCAGCAACAAAACACCGACTGCCATGAAGGGCCGAGCGTAGGAGGCACCGGAGCTGCTATCATTATGTCATCGCTCTGATCCAAACAAACACTCGTCTGCGTGAAGCTTTACTGCAGGCTTTGTGTGCATGTCAGCGACGGCATCTCCACGCACCTTCTCCACGCTGGCGTAGCGGCTGGCCAGCTGCTTCCTGAGGTCGGCGATGTGATGGTCGTACTTCTTCAGGTCCTTCTTGAAGTTGTCGCCCCTGAAGGTCAGCAAGGGCTTCTCTACCTCCGTGTGGAGCTGTGAAGACAAAGCAGTCAGATATCAGTAATGTGCAGCGTGCTTTAAGAGCTTTCTGGTGTTCCTAATGCTTTGCTCTCTCATTTTCAGCATAATGCAGTCAAATACAAAACCACCCACCCATGCACAAAATCAGAAATAAATCTAAAGAATTACTTTAAGCTTTACTCTGCAATTATGGCAGAGCTGCTTTAGGTGCCCCTCCCTGAGCCCGGTTCTGCTTCCCTCTGTCACCAAGTGCTTGATCAAAGACGGTCATTTGATTGCTGGGTTTTCTTTCTTTACCTTACAGTCCTTGAGGAACTTCTGAATTTAACTGAATTAAATTGAAGTTAAATTAAAGCTTGAGTTCACGTTTAAACTGAGCTTAAAGTAGAAAAAAGTGGATATACAAGAACTAGAATCTTCAATCTACCAACAGAACTCGTAGGTGTGGTTAATTTTACCTGTGATGTAAATCTGAATACAATGAATTATTCCAAAGAGTGGCTTTACTTCATCTATATGAGTAAGATCCACTCCTGATGCTCACAGGTTGGCAGGTGGTGACCCCCCTAACCTATGGGCGCGAGTCGTAAGTGACCGAAAGAATGAAACCGTGGATACAAACAGCAGAAACTAGTTTCCTCCGTTGGGTGGCTAGGCTCTGTGTTGAAAAGAGCTAGCTGAGGTCCTCTGGGCATCTGATCACGATGCCTCCTTCGTGTCTTTCTTTGGAGGTTTTTGGTCAAAGCGAGCTGAAAGGAGAATCTCTGGTTCAGCCACAACTAGCTGGAGAGACTATATATATCATCTGGATCACATCGTGCAAAAGCATCTGGAATACACTGCTTAGCCTGCTGCCACTATAACCCAGCTTTGGACAAGTGGAAGAAAATAGATGGATTTTATCAGTCTAGAACAGGGGTAGGCAACTCCAGGCCTCGAGTGCCGGTGTCCTGCAGGTTTTAGATCGCACCCTGGGTTAACACACCTGAATCAAATGATTAGTTCATTACCAGGCCTCTGGAGAACTTCAAGAAATGCTGAGGAGTCATTTAGCCCTTTAAATCAGCTGTGATGGATCATGGACACATCTAAAACCTCCAGGACACCGGCACTCGAGGCCTGGAGTTGCCTACCCCTGGTGTAGAAGAAAGCATTTAGTCTCCAAGAGCGGCTCTAGAGGTGTAAAGCTAACCCGATGTTTACGATTGTTACCATGTCTTTTATACTGAGTTTTTTTCTGAAGAACACCTGCCCTTTTACTGCATCAGCCACTGGTACTCTGTAGCTTTAGATAATTTTCAGTGTTTACTGGTAGCGGCTAACTCCCTGGTGCCCGGCAGCAGAGTTATGGGGTTGTATCAGAGACCTCACGCACCATTCAAATGTTTCTGGGATTTACATGTTTGTGGATTTTGATTGTTTTTTGCTTAATTTTGACAGGGGGATGTAGCATGGAGCGTTTCAGCCCACAGTTTGGTTAGTAATGTCACTGCACAGTCTACCTGGATCAAAACTTACTCCCCTTTATGTTTATTGGATCCATATCTTAAAGTGTGAACAGCACAATTTGCAGTTTTTAGGCACCTTAAAATCAACACATACATCGGCAGTGCATTTATTAAACTGTGGAAAAGTGCAGGTAAATGGGTGTCGACATTAGTAAAGCCTGCTTCCTGTTCTGATCCATAAAGAGGAACAGTTACCGTCTGTTTCTCTGTCTCTCAGCAAAAGTTCGTCCAATATTACGATTTGTTTTTTTAAATGACATTTCAACGGACTGCGAGGTGCCTTTCAGCACCGATGGCTCTGCATGCTGAATACTAATCTGGTGCAAATGGCAAAGCTTGAAGCTACTGATGAACTGTAGCTTATTTAAAACTCGGAGAGCGAAACAAGTCGCGGCTTCTGCAGGCTTGATAAGACTCCTCATTCCTCCGCCTTGTTCTACTTTACCTCCACCCACGATAACAAAGCATGGAGCCCTGCTGGAGCTGGGAAAGGCCTGCATAGCCTTCGGCGTGGGGCTTGTCAGAATACGTAGCTAATTAATTAGACAACAGAGAGCTACGAAAAGCTCAGAGGCTGCCTTTGCTTTATTTAAGGCTGCCTCTGAAGCCACTATGCTGTTTCTGCATCGCCGGTAATCGGACTCACAGACGGGTCATTTTCTGTGGTCAACGCAGGCGAGGCTGAAGTAAACAAAAGCCGTCACCTCGGGATGTGGTCGGATCAAGTATCCGTTTCCACAGCTGACTGAAAACATTCAACGCTTGACCTGAAGGTGCACAAAACTGAAAAATCAAGGCAGAAGAAAAAACCTTCATGATTCTGTCTACAGGATAGAATAATAATGCTAAAGTAGAGCTGATCTAATTGAATCCTGGTGTTTAATCTGTATATGAGTAGATTTTACCTTGTTGGAGAACTTGAGGTGAACTTCAGCCTCATCATGGAGACTCTTCTTAAGCTGAGTCCACGCTTCTCCGAGAGTCCTGAGAGAACATCGACGTGAAAGAAGTTAAACTCACAGATCAAAAGCATTGAACGGTTGGGTCAAAGTGTACAAACGAAGCAGATACAAGATGCATAATTGTTACCTTAACGGCATAAAAAGCAAAAGCAGATTCTGTGCAGCAAAACAAATAAACCATACGTACAGAACCCGAGCAAAGTTTCAAATAATGGTCTCAGCTTATATATAACAAAACAAAGAAAGTCCTCAAAGGACTCTGTGCAGACCTCAACAAAATAAATAAAAAATAATAATAATAAATTTGCTCGTTTAAGTTTAGCTTTTATTCTTTTCATTACTAGTTTCTTCTTTTCAGTGTTAGCGACAGCTGTAAAAGGCTGATGGAGTATTGTCGTCACCCGCTGGGCAGAGGGAGTGGAAACCCAAGTTTGAGAACAAAGTCGCTTAGGATGTTAAATTGATACCACAGGTGGACTGGCAGCTGCCAGTATTTTTTATAAATGATACCAAAGGATCATATTTGTCAAGGCCATGGATCAAAATGTCATGTAGTGTGCTGTGAGCGGCAGGAGGAAGGACCCAAATGCAGGACTCATAAAGGGCAAAAACTTAAAGCAGCAGCTTTATTTGCTGGGAAAACTCAAACATGAATATAAGGAAACTAAAACCAGAAGCACGAAGCACTAACTAGAAATCTGGGGAAACTAGAAAACAGAACTGAACAGCTAACTAGAACGCTACCACAAACACAGAGGAGAAAACACAGCGTGGAGAGGTTACGATGCGACACCTGACAAAGAGAAACACAGGACTTAAACACACCAGCAGGACAAGGAGAGGATGGGGAACAGGTGGTAACACAGCTGGGACAAATCAGACCTAATGAGACAAAGGAAGCAAAGCAGAATACATGGACAAAGGACACAGACTGTCAAAGTAAAACAGGAAGTACAACACAGAGATTTGACACAGACTGAGAAACGACTGACTGGGAAGGAGGAGGAACATGCAGACGAGCGTCACAAGACAAGGAACGTGAGAAAGACAAAATAACAGAAACCAAAAAATATAACACAAGCAGAACCAAAACCCATGAATTACAATAATCAAAGAATATAACTAAAACCCACACAAAGACACTGCGTCACAGACCCAGTACTGTGACACAAAAAGCTCAGAACATCAATACAAACATGTAGGGCTGCACGATTAATCGTTAGAAAATTGCGATCTCAATTCATACTTATGTGCGATCTCATTTCCAAATGACAACGATTTAAAAAAAAAAAAAAAAAAGACGACGACGACGATTGTACCGCATTTTGATCCGGGACGTAATCTGCATGAAAACAAGCGCTCACTCTTCCTGCTCGACAAATGACGAGGGCGGAGCCTTATACCACGTGATACAGAAGCTGGCTGCTAAAATTGGCAGGGAAAAAAACAACGGAGAACAGGTCAGGGATGACGAGAAAGTGACAGGAGAAAATCCGTCCTGGTCAACCACCCAAACATCAATAACGGGAACCTTATACAGCGCTTCCCTATACACGTCGAACTCCCGCAGGCGCAAAGAAATTACGGAGGCTATTACTTATCACCTGACCAAAGATATGGCTCCATCAACACTGTGCAAAACGAGGGATTTAGGAGAATGATCAACACCCTAGACAAACGCTACACAGTGCCGTCCCGCAACTATTTCTCTATTGTTGCACTTCCTGCTCTATACACGCAGTGTGGAGCAACGGTGGAGACGGAATTTCAAGCAGTACAACATTTTGCGGCAACGACAAAATGTGAGACATTTGTTATTTTTATGTTTATTTATTGTTTTTTATGTTCAGTCTCAACTGTTACGAAGTTGATGTGCAGTTAATAAGTGCAATAAATGTTTATACTGGAAAAGAAAATCGTGAGAGAATCGTGATCTCAATTCTAAGCCAAAAAATCGTGATTCTCATTTTATGCAAAATCGTGCAGCCCTACAAACATGTGACTGACAGTTTGCAAAAATCCAAAGCTTCTTCAGCCTGGTTGTGTTGGAAGATTTCACCAAACTGACAAAAGGTAGAACACGCTTTTCTTTGTTTGAGTTGCTTTCATAAGAATGCAGGATTGTTTCTGGTTCTGAACTCTCCTTTTAGTGGCAGCAGTTTGATCCCTGGCTCCTCCAGCCTGTACGTCGAAGTACCCTTGGTCGGGATACTGAACTCTGAGTTGATCCTGAGGCATCTTTTGGACTGTGTGTTAGATTAAGAGTGCTTAGGCATAAAAAAGTGAATGTGTGTGTTTGAATGGGTGAATGTAGCAAGAAAGCACTGAGAAAGCTCAAATTGAGCAGAAAAACATTTTAAAAGTACCAGCCTGTTCCTTTTTTTAGTCTTAGCTTCATACTGTCACTGAGAACAGATGTCAGAAGAAATTTGGTTTAAATATAGAGCAGCCACAAAAGTAGAGAAGGTCAAATGAATTATTTTGTTCAAGTAGCTACACCAAGCCCCAGTTTAAGATAAACATGGATTATTTTAAACTATGAGTCATGCAAAGCTACTCTAGTCCCAGAATGAAAACATGAAGCTGGAAATGAGCAGAATTTGTTACCATGTCTTTTAAGATGATCTCGAGATTGTACAAACAAAAATAATTATTTATATTTTATGTATATGTTTGACCTGATGCTTTATTTGTTTGAATGTGGGGGAAATGAATAACGATCTGAGTGTGTTTGAAGAATTGGTTTGACCTCCTGCTGCCCTGTGAACATCCTACGACCAAACTGATCAATACAAGCAAAGGTCAGTCCAGAGCAAAGCAGTACATACTGATCAATACTGATCAATCATGACATCAAAGCAGAGAAGCAGTGTGGGGAATTTTTATGGACTTACCTGATAATGCGACATAGTCTGCATAGGCTTTAATGAATACTAGTAGTAGAATACTTATTGAATGAGTACTTCAGTCTGTTAGCACTAATTAGCAGGTATCAGTTTCTGTGTTATGGCTGCAGCTTTAGCATTAGCTTGTAACTTAGCACTCTGTCTGAATATGGTCACTTCTGGCTACAAAACCCCAACATGAAGGTCAAAACGCTAAAGTTGATGCTTCACGATAACACAAACCAGTGGGTGACAACTGGTTTCATATAGAGCACTTGTAGCTCAGTCACATCAGAATAAAAAAATGGACAGCAACCTCCACGCCACTGTCATCTCAACAAAAATATATTAAGTTGTTGAATTTCATACAGATCCTACATGACTTAAATACGTTCACCACAGAAACATGAAATTATGTTGTTCACATTACAAGTTTGAATTTTGTAAATGTAATAACCGCCCAATTTAATTTTTTTGAGCGTACCTAACATGCCTGGTTGTCATAGCAACGGCATTAATATGCAACATGGACGCTTTAAAAAAAGGTGGACGTCGAGGCAAGAATATACCCGCTACTCGGTCTGTGGCTTTTTGTCAGCCTTGGGGATCAAAGTGCTGTTTTTTATAGCCATCTTCCTTGTTGCCGGGTTTCAAAAATGGCAAATGGTTTTAATTTTCGTGAACGAGACGCTCTCGTGACTCATCAAGTGATGCTACTGACCAGCCAATCGGTGGCATGCAGTCTGATGACGTCACATTTTAGTCAAGCCGAGTAGGTACTAATGGAAAAGGGCCTCATGTGCATCTTCTACA